GACCCTCTGCACTGTGGCTGCTGCACCATGCCCGGCAGGTGATCGGAGTGTGACCTTGGCATCCGGCTCGGGGTCACCAGCTCATGCCCGCCTGCGGGCCAGGCTCCACGTGACAGGCAAGGACGCCGGGGCCCCAGAGATGGGAAGGGACAAGCCCAAGGTAACTCAGCCCCGGACTGGGACCAGGTCTCTCAGCTTCATCACTGTAACTATGACCCCATCTCCCTGTGGGGGATTTTCCAGCTTGGGGACATGTTCCATGTTATTCCTTCCTCGGCCCCAAGCCCCAGGCTCCTGCAGTGGGGCTCAATCCACATTCACTGAGGGATGCTGAGCAAGTTACCAGGCAGCAGCTGGTGCTGGCTGTGGGAGAACTCAGTGGCCTCCCAGTTACTTGCCTGGGTCGGTGGGCCAGGGGTCCATGCAGGTCCTGCTCTCCAGGCAATTCCAGGGGCAGCCGGGTGATCTCCCTGCCAGGACAGCCTTCAGATAACTGTCACTTCTAAGCCTGTTTCTGGGCATCTGTGCCTTCCTGGAACCTGACCCAGTTCCCCTGCCTGGCCTGGCCTGGGGGTACTGTGAGGAGTAGGAAGGTGGGGGTCAGGTCAGCAAATGCTGTGAGGAATTTGATGTGATGTTCTTGTTAATTACGTAAAAATCAAGCCGTCTGTTAGCTTAGGTTACTCCCCTCTCTGGGAACCGAGCAAATGCCCTGTAAACAATGCAGAAACTGCTCTGTCTGTAAGCCTTGTGGGGAGAGGGGCAATTCAGACATGCACTGAATTTACCCAGACATTTCTGCACATGGATTTACCCAGGGCTCCCTGGGTAGCAGAGCAGAGCCTGGGGAGCCATGAGGTGGGACACAGTGCCTGTTTCCCTTGCACGCACAGTCTAGCCCCATTGGTCCCCTGGGGAAGGGCAGTGCTAGAGATGAACCCCTGGGTGGTTTGGGGACCCCTCCAAAACCATAACCCCACCTGGGGGTTAAGTGCAGCCAGTAGGAGTGTCTCCTGGGATGGTGGACAACTCCCACCCCACGGTTCCTGGATCAGAGTTAAACAGAAAAAGAAGAATACCCAGTTAGGAAGGAAGCCTGGAGAACACACCACAACTAGACCCCATGCTCCCCCGCTCTCCCCGCCAGTCAGATGCAGGTGGGGCTGGCGTCCTCGATGGAGGGAGGAGACCACAGCGTCCCACAGAGGCTGGTCAAATCACAGCTCTGCCAGGCCTCCTTGGTGACCTTTGGCAGATGTCCAGTAACAGACGAGCAAACCCGACTCCATACTGCAGCTGATCTTTTAACTCTAACCTTCGTGCTCTGTGGACGGACGGATGGATAGATGGATGAATGGACAGATGGATGGATGAATGGCATGCGTGCTCAGTTGTGTCCGACTCTTTGCAACCCGCTGGACTGTAGCCCTCCAGGCTCCTCTGCCCATGGAATTCTCCAGGCAAGAATACTGGAGTGGGCTGCCGTGCCCTCCTCCAGGGGATCTTCCCGACCCAGGGATCGAACCTGTATCTCGTGTCTCCTGCATTGGCAGGTGGGTTCTTTACCACTGGTGCCACCTGGGGAGACCTCTTGTGCTCTGTGGTTGAAGCTTAATCATGATGCCCCTTCATCTTGGTACAAGTAGGTCACCTATAGCCTGAAATATACAATAGCCCCTTCTCAAGGCTCTGCCTCCCAGCCTTAACCTTTAAAGGGAAAACATGTTTCATTCACATAGAGATAAAAAGTTGCAGAGCAGAGAATGTTTGTCCTGTTGGAAATTTACAAGAACATGGTGCCTAGACCTGTGTGAACTGCTGCAAGGACAAAGGTCCGGGGTCTAGCCGGTCCCAAGAAGTTTGCAGCACAGCCATGCCCTTCCCCTTTTAGTGGAAAGAAACCTGAATTCTAATTCAGCTAAGACAGCTCTTTGGGACACGAGTCCACCATCTTCTTGGATTCCTGGCTTTCCAAATGAAATTGCTACTCTTGCTCCAACACCTGTCTCTCGATGTATCAGCCTGTTGTACCGCCAGCAGTATGAATTTGATAACATTTTCAGCCTTAGTTTGTTCCTCTGCAAAGTGGGTATAATTATTCCCATTTCATTTAGATATGCTTTTTAATTAATTAATTTTGGTTTTTGTTTTTTGGGGTTTTTTTGTTGTGCTGGGTCTTCCTTGATGCGCAAGGGCTTTCTCTAGTGGAGAGCAGGGATTACCTCCTAGCTGTGGTGTGTGCACCTCATTGTGGTAGCTTTTCTTGTTGCAGAACACAAGCTCTTGGCTCAAGGGTTCAGTAGTTGTAGCACGCGGGCTCCATAGTTGTGGCTCGAGGATTCTAGAGCTCAAGGGCTTCAGTAGTTGTGGCAGATGAGCTTTGTTGCTTCACATCACGTGGGATCTTCCTGGAGCAGGGATTGAACCCATGTTCCCTACATTGGCAGAACAGATTCTTAACCACTGGACCACCAGGGAAGTCCCTAGATATGTTGTTATAAAATAATTTCCAAGCTTTAGCTTTCACATTAAAAAAAAATGAAAAGGAAGGTGGGCAAGGTAGAGTAAGTTCCCTTTTCTGTGAACAAATGTGCTTAAATGTACAGAGAACATTCTGCGAAAATACCTAAGAACATGTGAAACGTGGACAGGGCCACACAGAAGGAGCAGAGTCTTCTGTCCTGTCTGACTTTAACAGCCAACTGCCGGTATTGTATCTTTATTAAGACATATTCAATACTTAATACATTTGTTAAAATGTAGTTGATAAAAATAATTTTTTGTTGGAGAAAAAGCAAAAAATAAAGAAAAAGCACTTCTGCCTTTCAAGAGCTGTGACACAGAAATGAAATCAGCATACCCCGTGTACCTGACTCGTGGTTGTCGCCTGTCTTTTCAAGTACTCGAGGTAGGCCTGGGATTAAGCGGCCTGGAATCTCATGTCACTGAGCAGGGACCCTCCTGACCTGCTCCTGGGTGGGGTGTTGGGTGGTGCCCAGGCCTGGCAATGCTTCCTTGAGCCTCACGCTGAGACTTTGCTCTTTCCCCCTGGCCAGGCTGACAGTGGGCGTTGACCCTGCTCTGGCTCCCTGATAGAGAGGTGTTCACAGGCAGCTGCATCAGCCATCGCCCCTCACTTGCTACTGCAAAACAGTGGGGTGGGAAGCACCCCTACCCTTTGGGATGGTCAGGCCTCTGGGGACTTTGTCGGCTCATGCAGGACAGGAGTGGGCAGGGCTGGAGGGAAGGGCTCCCAGATAAACAGAACCCGGAGTGCCTGTGTAAACACTGGGGTATAAAGGAGTCTTCTCGGCCAACTCTACATGTCCTCTGAGCGGTCGGGTCCCCAGAGCCCGTCTGTGACCATGGAGGCCAGAACATTCTGGCTACTGGTGGTGGTGGTCCTGGCCTTGGGGTCCTCCAGCTCGAGCGTGCAGTATGTGGGCCTGTGTGAGTACCCCTCTGACCCCCTCCCAGTGGGTGGCAGGGAGGAGGAGGGGCTGGATGGCAGAGTGGGGGCACAGGACACGGAAGAGCGAGGCTGGGGGCTTTCTGCGGGCTTGAGGAAACTGACCAAGCTCCTTAATTTAATGATTGCTATTCTGGCCACCTGATGCAAGGAGCCGACTCATTGGAAAAGGTGATCGTGATGCTGGGAAAGACTGAAGGCAACGGAAAGGGGGGTGGCAAAGGATGAAATGGTTAGATAGTATCGCCAACTCAAAGGACTAGATAACTCAAAGGACATGAGTTTGTGCAAACTCCAGGAGATAGTGGAGAACAGAGGAGGCTGGTGGGCTACAGTCCACGGGGATGCAAAGAGTCAGACAGGACTCAGTGACTGAAAAACAGTGACAAACTTACCAGACACACACATTTTCTCTCAGCAGTCCTACAAACTGGGTCTTGCTGTCCCCATTTTGCAGACAAGGAAACTGAGGTTCAGAGAGTTAATAACTGAGTCTACTGGTCAGTGTAGAAAGCAGGATGGGAACCCTGGTAGCCACACCAAGCCTACCCTCCCACTGCCTTCCTTGCTGGAGACTTCTGAATTAACAGTATATGTCTTTCTACATTATTCTGGCACATTTGCAAAACACAAAGAAAAGACAAATGAAAACAGCCACTTCCAGAACCTTTTCAATACCTACAGTTTTCATTTAGCCATTGAATTATAATCCCAGGTAGGGCATGGCTATTCCATTAACTGGATTTTGCAGAAATTAAAGTGTGGCTTTTATCAGGTTCTGAGGGGTCTCAAACTTGGCAGCCATCTGAATCACTTGGAAGCTTTTAAATCTCAAAGCCCAGTAGGATGTGCCAACTACATCAGAATGTCTCTGGGTGGGAGCAGGTATCACTGGTCCTGACCCCAATGTGAGCAAAGTTTGGGAACCAGTGGAGTAAGGAATTAAGAATTGGCAGCCCTAGAAGAGAATTCTAGGTTCCCTGTGAATTCTATTTTCCTAAGGAAAAATCTGGTTAAGGAATGAGGCACAGTGGACTCTTGCTGAGCTTCTGACATAAAGACTTATCTGAAAAGTGAATCGTAGAGACTCATAGGTATGTGTCAAGGGAAGTAGGGAGAGGCAGAAAATAGCACACATTGCGGTTTTCTCACTTGAATGCCTACCTTCTATTATGCTATTCATTTTTAAGGGGGAAGTTCTGTTGATCAAACACTGAAGGAGAACTTTGTTTCCGGGTTCAGGGGACCCTGGATTCCTGTGGGTACTTGCCAACTGGCGGGAACCCAGGCTCTACAGGTGCCAGGAGCACCCAAGTGAGAGAGACGCTGGGCAGCCGGCCAGATCTTTCACAAAACATTTCTCCTGAAATATTTGTGGGGAAAGAGGGCCCTGGAGCAGCAGGTGTTGGGGGAGGGGAGGGGTTGTATCCCATGAACTGGGCGCTGGGGGCAGGGAGCGGACTTGTAAATGCGCCCGGTGGACCAACCCCAAACCAGAGAGGGCTCTCTGACCTGGCTTTGTGTGGGCCAGCGGCGAACCAGTGTGCGGTGCCGGCCAAGGACAGGGTGGACTGCGGCTATCCCGAGGTCACCCCCGAGCAGTGCAACAACCGCGGCTGCTGCTTCGACTCCAGCATCCCCGGGGTGCCCTGGTGCTTCAAGCCCCTGCAGGAAGCAGGTGAGCCAGATGGAACGCACGAGGCCTTTCGGGACCCGGGAAGCTGCACACACCTGGGCCCTGGGTGGGACCCCTATGCCATAGCTGTCTGCTGGGCAAGCGGGGGCTCCCAGGTGGCGCCAGTGGTAAAGAACCCACCTGCTGATGCAGGAGACACAAGACACGTGGGTTCAATCCCTGGGTGGGGAGGATCCCCTGGAGGAGGGCATGGCAACCCACTCCAGTTTTCTTGCCTGGAAAATCCCACGGACCGAGGAGCCTGGTGGGCTGTAGTCCACAGGGTCACAAAGAGTCGGACACAACTGATCACGCATGCACCTAGTTTTTCATTATTTCAGAAAGATGTTCAAAGTCAAGGCCTTATGTAGAGGAAAATAGGTTAAAAGCTACCCTGGAGAAAAGTGGATAATACATGGGTTTGGAAACCCAGGCTGACTTTCAAGGCCGTTTTCAGCAAGCACCCCACTCCGAGCCTCGGCCATTTGTGATCTATGATGTGCTCTCTGTCTGGACGTGGAGTCCTGGAACGTCTCCCCACCCCGCTGCCCCACTCCTGCCCCACCAAGAGGGGCTCCCCCCTCCCTCGCTGGGGCAGAGGGGTGCAGGGTGGCTCCTGGGGGACCCTGCTCATGTCAGGAGCAGATGGCAGGGCACTCGGTGCTCTGCTGTCCTGGCTGCATCCCCCACGCCCCGTCCCCCCATCTCCACCCCCGTGGAGGTTGCCTTGAGCCATCTGGAGCCCAGGTGCCAGCTCACCTTCTAAGAGGCACGTACTAAGTAAGGCCCCTTCCTGGAATCGGCACAGTGGGGTGGGGTGGGGGCGGGCACGTGTGCCCTTTGTCCCTGGGGAATGACAAAGGCGCCTGCACTCCAGCCAGCCCGTCCACCTCCCTAATCAGTTCCGGGGGTCGGGGGCTACCCGTTGCCCAGGGCTCCTCCCCTTCCTGCAAACCCGGGCAGAGGTCCAGATCAGGCTCTGGGCCCGGTGGGGAGTCGCCCCTGTGCTGATCATCCCCCCCTCCACCCGCTCCTCAGCCCGAGACGAAACTTCTTTGAACTCTAGCAGTGGCCCTGTCTGGCCCGGCCTGTCTCAGGCTCCATTTGTCCTGACCCCTTGGGTACCCCTGGGGTATGTGGCTGTTCTCCCAGAGGGTTGGGACTCGACCCTTCCCCAGGGACTTGGCAGGGAGACAGCACACACCACTGACCTTGGAGCCGGTCTGGACCTGGAGAAGCCAGGCAGCGGTGGCCAGGGACCACACAACTCAGGGTGACCCTTGTCTGTGCTTCATTTCCAGAATGCACCTTCTGAAGCCACGTGGCTGCCCGACACCCAGGGAGGGGACCTCCGCACTTGGGTACCCTGCCCACCCACTCAGTACTCATCCCTCTGCTTCCCTCACACTGCTCCTGGCCAGGCCTGAACCTAACACCTGGGGCCTGATGTCTTAAATAATAAAGCTCCCGTGCTCAGCATGAGGACAGGTCTTCATTCCTAAGACTTGATGTCGTTGTGTTTTATTTCTGCCAAGTCACTCTCTCCCTTCTCAGCCTTTGATCAATGGGGGGTGGGTGCAGTGTCTTAGCATCACCCAGCAGAGGGTTTGCCCTAGGCCTGGGGAGCAGGGAAGGACCCCAAAGTAGCTCCCTAGAGGTGAGGATGCTGCAAACCTGAGACCTAGTGTGACAGGACAGAGAGCATCACTTAGACACTTAGAAGGTTTCTCACCTTCTAAGCATCACTTAGAATGGTGTTGAGAAATACCATTTCTAATGTAAGTTCCCCCTAAAAAGTTATTAATGATTTTCATGGTAAAGAGAGAGCCCATAAATCCATTTTACCAATTGACACTTTTTTTAAATGTCTTTGCAAGTCAAGTTTAGCATCTGTGACATGTTGGCCTGCTTTTGCTATTTTTCCTCTGAAAACGGATGCAGTTTTGATACATGAACAACGTGTCACCAAGAGGGCTCTTGAAGTCTTAGCCATCCCCAGATGGAAAGTCGTCTCCCCCACTCTCGGAGACACTCGGCTCTCCCGGGACACCAGGAGCGTGTCCACACTATCAGACCTGAGCACCTGCTCTCCAGGCCACACGGCCGACTCCCCTGATGCTACTGAGGGCTGTTTCTGCTGCTCGGGGGCCAGGAAGTAGTGTGGCCCCTGAAGGCAGGGCTTCTGGGTCTGAGCCACCCTTCCCGCTGGAAAGGAGACACTGGCTCCTTTTCAAAACAAAAGGCTTCATTTTTAGCCTTGCACTTGGGGCCAGGTCTGTAGAGTGAGAGCTTGTGTGTGTCCTAAAAGGGAGAGGTTAATACCCTTGTTGTAGGATAAGCAACTCATCCCGAAGCCCTTTGAGGGGCACCACCCAGAGCCCACCCAGGGGCGGCCTGCCTATTTCATTGGGATGTGTCGAGTGAGGTCTGGTTGGAGGACCAAGCGCTGCCCTGACGTGGCACACGATTCCCCACGTGGGAGCCCCCCAGCTGGTCCCCAGCCCTCTCACACCCTCCACCCCAAGAAAAACACTGTGTCCCATCCATCATCCCCGATGGCCCTGAGTCAGCATCTCTTCCTGGCACGACCCACTCCCCCGCCTCAATTTGTCCACAGATTCCCAACAGCACCTCCCCCATGGGTCCCTGCTCACCCCTAACCCCAAGAGGACAGGGCCCTCAGCGTACAGCCCTGCAGGGTAAGGAGGGAGGGGTCACAGGGGGCAATTCCCTTCCCCACCACAGAGGCAGCCAAGGCCCCTGCACCCGCCCTCCTGGATGGAGCCCATTGGAGCCACCGTCTCCCCACTGACACTTCTGCCACTGCCCACCTGGCGCTCCTGTGGTCAGCTCAGAGCCACTGCTTCTGCGTCAAGGCCTCCAACACCATCAAGGGGAGGGGTCCTCGCCCCCCACCTCAGCCCCCAGACGGCAGCTTCTGTTTCCTCGCTGCTTGTTCAAGGTCCTGTCTGGAGAATGTGTTTCCTGGGAAGCTTGGGGAGACCCCAGGCCAGAGTTGGATGCTGGAGCAACCTTCATCCCTGCCAGGAGACCTGGTCACAGGTGGGAGGATAGGGAGATGGAGCCTCAACCTTTCGTCTTGGGGCCCACACATCTCTCCCCAAACTTCACTCTGTTGTTCCTGCAAAGGTCAGAGGGGTCATCACGCAAGTCGGGCATCTGGGGTCCCGGTCGGCGTGAACACTCGCCCCTCCCCATAGCCAGCACTTCTCAACTGGCTCAAACAACAGATGTGGATCACAGTCACCTGCGGAGTTTCCAAGAATCTCAGAGTCTGGAGGTGAAATCAGGGTCTCCAGGGCAGCTCACAACTTCAGTGATGTCCAGCCAGGCAGAGCGAAGCTGGACACGTCCATCTGTGCAGGGCCAGCACTTGATAATGGAAGCCAAGAGTGTTGTGAGGGTCTGTGACACCAGGAAGGACAAGATCCCCAGAGAGGGACCTGACCAGGCAGACTCCGATCGCCTTTGAGACCGTCACTCTCCAGTCAGAACCAAATACACAAGCAGAGCCAGTGGCTCACTTGTCCTCCAAGCCAAGATGACCGCAGACTTGTGGGGACCTGGACAGGCTACTTCTTATATAATTACATATCATTACTGAGTTAGGGCACTCACTTCAATCCTGTGCCTCACCCTAGCCACACAGGACGGACGCTGTGGCTGCAGTAGTCTCATAAGTGTGTTCACAGACCACCGACATCAGGCCAGACCGCTCTGACCGCGATGGAGCAGGACACAGGGAAGCCCAGGTCCCCATCCTTCCAACCTGGTCCAAACCACAGCGACCAGTGGCCCCCTCTGCTGGCTGACTTGAGTGACTGCAGCTTCCTGCAATCCCAGCTTCAGCCTGTTTCCAAGTCACTCACTTTTTAAATGGGACTTACCAAGAGGCCCGGTGACCTGACCACCTCGCCTCCAGACAGCATGGGATCTTGAGCAGAGCTGACTCCCAGTTTCTATCAGTTGAGCAAAACTTCATCTTCGCAGGAAACTTGGAGTTTTTTTTTCTCATTCTCCTTTTCCTTGCAGTTAAGTCTAACCCTGGCCGTGGTGCTCCATTTCCCGCTTCCTGAGATGTCCTCTAGTCCCAGGGGGTGGGGGAGCAAAGGAGGCGGGGGTCTCATGGAAGCGTCTGGTGCCCCATATCCCTAAAAAAAAAAAAAAAAAGCTGAAAAGGCGGCTCAGTCTCCTTTAGGGCGCACAGCTGCAATGCTGTGGGGCTTCACACACTTGACTTCATTCAGCCCCCACAGCAGCCTGTGAAGTACAATCGTTATCTCCGTTTTCACAAGCGAACAAGCAGAGGCACAGAGCGGTTAGGTCAGGAGCCCAAGGTCACACAACAGTGGAGGGAGATCTCCAGGGTCTGCAGGCACTTGCCCATCCCAGCAGCTCTGAGCTCTCAGAGAGGGTTCCTTCTTGGTTCTCAGGCCAGGCACTGGGTGGGGCAGCTTCTGGGCGGTGGGTAGAAGAGGTGCTTCCCTGTCCAGGTTAGTAAGTAGCAATGGCTGGGTGGCTGCTGCGTGTCCTGCCAAAGAGAGCTGGAAGTAGCCCCTGGAACCTGCAGGTTCGAGAAGGGTCTTGGAGGGTGTCCCTCTGGGACAGGCCAGGGGACAGGGGGAGGCTTATAGAAGTCCACATCACCCTGCCCAGTGTGGCAGCCCAGACCCCAGCAAGCCCCAGCTTACTCGGCAGGGAACTGGACGGAATTCACCCCAAAATGCCTGAGTGGGAGCTTTAAGTTCAGCCATAGAGAAAACTCAAGTCACTGATGTACACAGTGCAAATGTATTTTGTGTGCACCACATTTTGTGCGTCTGCCTGAAGTGTGTGGCTGCCCCTCGTTTCAGCCTCTGGACAGACACTCAAAGGGTCTGCGTGGAGTCCGGCATCTCACAGTGACATCTGGGGTGGGAGGAGTTTGGAAGGGTGTGGCTCCCAGGCATGCTCTGTGTTGGGGGCAGGGTGGTTCCGCCTTTATCCTTCCCCCGGGCGTGGACATCTCACGCTGCAGCCAGCTGGAAGTTGCTGGCTGACACCCAGACGGATCTGTAAAGATAATCAAAGCTAATAAGATGATCAAGCACTTGGCATGCCGCAGGCACCCATCAAGTACTGGAGATTTGCTAAGTCCTTGAAAGTCCATGTGGTGTGGGGGGTGGGTACTGCCATTCCGTTTTTTATTTTTTCAGAAGAGGAAGCTTTCACGGAGCCCTTTAGTAATTTGATCAGGCATCCACAGCCAGGAGGCAGCCTGTGAGGATACACTGTGGCTGAATCATAGCACCTCCCACTGGTCACTCAGGTCTATTCCATTTTATAAATGGCAATAGATTTCTGATAGGTGGCGCTAGTGGTCAACAACCAGGCTTCTGATGCAGGAGAGGTGAGAGATGTGGGTTCGAACCCTGGGTCAAGAAGATTAAGATCCCCTGGCGGAGGTCATGGCCACCCCCTCCAGTATTCTTGCCTGGATACTTCTGTGGACAGAGGAGCCTGGCAGGCTAGTCCATAGGGTTGCAAAGAGTCTGACACCCCTGAAGCAACTAAGCACAAGGAAATTAAATTGTTAATATGTTTACAAGCTTGTGTAAAGAAAGGTCTATAACAATTGGCTAGGTTTAAAAAGGAAACACTGATGGGGAATTTCCTGGAGGTGCAGTGGTTAGGGCTCAGAGCTTCCACTGCAGGGGGTACAATGCAGGCAAAAAAAAGAAAAAGGAAACATTGAAATGCTGGAAAAACTTGAACAATTATCCTAATTACAGACTTGCAAGGACCCAGAAGAACATCCTGCCAGCCCTGCTCAGTCCTTGAGTTCTTTGTGACCTGGTGGGGGTCTCCCAGAGGTGGGTGGTCTTCCTTGGCTCCGGACACTAGATGTCAATTAAGTACAGAGAGTGCTAACCAATTTTAAAATTCTGGGAGGAGAGGTACTGCAATGTGGACCGGGCACTTTTCTTTTAGATTTATCTTTACTTTACCAGTGAGAAAACGAGAGAATTTTACTCAAGGACACAGCCTTGCTAAGACTCAGACTCAAAGTGTGCTGGTGTTTTCCTGGGCTGCATGTAATTTGATCATCACTGGTGGATTTCGCGCCCCCTGGGCCCTCGACTGACACTAACTGTCCCAGGCTCCAAATGGCCTAGACACCACCCACTAAACCTTCCTACCTCTCGGCCAGTGCACATCTAAAATTTGAAGCCACCAGTGGCTCACGGTAGGTTCAAATAATGAATTGGGTCCCATAGGATCCAGGGATCACTCTGATATCAAAAACCTTCCTCACTGATTAATGATGCACATTTGTGGAACCTTCCAGAAACCATGGGATGAGCGCTTTGACTTGCCCAGAAGAACCCGGACCCACTGCCTTGCTGCTGGTGGAAAAGGGAAAGCAACATCAGGCTTACTCCACCCCCAGCATACACAGTGGCCATTTATCTTGCTCATTATTAACATTACTTGTGATGTTCACAAGCTTTTCTCCTCCTCTTGCGTCAGTGCGGTTGATCTGTGAGAGCGTTGCTCCGACATGTCTTATTGGGCAATGACTCCTTCAGTATTATTCCAAAATATGTCGACTATTCACTGGAATTCATCACTCTGATTCTTGAACGCTCAGAGGCACAGAGGAGGGTTTTGCAGGTTCAGGTGATCAATGCATTCACCAGGAAAGTCTGCAAGGGAGGAGAGTGGGTGATGCCGGAAGCCCCAGATCCCGCTGTGGGTCTGACACCAGCAAGTGGAGCAGGAAGGACCCGGGAGGTGGGGGACAGAGCCTCAGCCAAGTTCAGACAAGGTTTCCAACAGGTGGACCCCTAAACCAAGCTGCCCCTTACAGAAAACTGCATGGGGAGGAATGGCCAGGTTGGCAGAGACCTGGGGCAGGTGTCCCGGTGTGGGTGCCCTGGGGCTAGAGGCAGGATGTGGGTGCTGGGAGGGGCTGCCTTGGAAGCACCATGAGAGTGGGGGTCACGCGTGGGGTCTGCAGTCGCACCTCCAGGGAACCCGTTTCACATTGCACCTTCCCTTCTGCTTGAATTTCCAGAAAAGCTTCTGTGGTTTAGATTGTAGGTTGTAAGGATGTAAGTATAAGGTTGTTTTCTTACTTCTCAGATCTATTGAAACATGGATGCTATGGTAAAAACAACCACAGTGGGGATCAGAAGGGACATGGCTGCGTGGATTCTGGAATATTCCGAGGATGGCATGAGTGCTGTACCTTCTGGTCCGATTTGGATTAGGGGGTGGGAAGCCGGTGTGAGGAGGGTCTTTCTGAGAGTGATGAGGGGCAGGGTGATCACCAGCCATCTGGTGGGCAGCTCTGGTTTCCTTGAGGGGTTGTGCTTGGGACAGTGTGGGGATGAGATGACTAACTTTCATCTCATTTGTTCAAAGACGTGTGTAGAATATTGGTGAATGAGATGTCCAATAAAGATCATCTTGGAAGGAGTGGAAAGTGGTGGGGATTCTGGTGCGGAAGTGCGGGTGGCTTGGGAGCAGAGGACGGCATCTAGAGACAGAGAAACCTGCGCAGAGAGAAAAAGTGGGGGCTCCAGGTCCTCGATGTGGCTTCTCTGTGTCCTGTCCCCTCACACACACCTGCAAGGGAAACCCAGTCCTCCCTATCATGGCCACACTCAGGTGAGGATCGCAGAGTGACACCTGGCCCTAGGACCAACCTGAACCCCAGTGCTGACCCCTGGGGGGCCCTGACAGTGTAAAGACCCTCAGCACTGACTCCTGGTTACGTTCACCCATCATCCTGTTGTTGTTGTTCAGTCGCTGTGTCCAACTCTTTTTGACCCCACGGACAGTAGCCTGTCAGGCTCCTCTCTCCTTTGGATTTCCCAGGCAAGAATATTGGAGTGGGTTGCCATTTCCTTCTCCAGGGGATCTTCCCAACCCAGGGATTGAACCTGCATCTCCTAGCAGAGACTGGGAGAAGTTTCATGTGGGTGTGAGGGCAGACTCCTCCAGGCCACTTCCTATGACTGGACCAGCTCTTTGCTATCAGCTCCTCAATGTCTTCTGAAGGAGGGAGTGCGATGCAGGGGTCAGGAGTCCTGGGTCCCCTGCTAAACTGTCACCATCTGAATCCTGCCTCCACCATTTGCCTTGGGACACTTGTCTCATCTCTCAGCCTCAGTTCCCTGGCCTGTGAAATGGGTTGGCCATAGTTTTCTGGCCCCAAGGATGGCTGAGAAATGAGATCACACATGAAAGCCACCTGACCCTGCATTAGCACTTTGCCTATCGAGTGGGGCTGGCATATCTCCTCCCTTACTCTCACTTTCCTTCCCAACTTCATCCATCATAACACCTTCCAGAGGAACTGTTTCATTAAGAGAGAGGGCAGTGCAAGGTACAGAAAATTCCCCACAGCCTCCACCAGCCCCAGGCCCGATTCTCCCCGCAGGTCTGCGAGCTGCTGCTATCAAAAGGAAAGAGAAGCGAGAAACAGGAAAATCTGAAAATAACGATGGTTTATTTTGATTTATGTCACATTTTCATAAATGGCATCTAATTTCAGAAAACAAAGCTCAAGTCTGCAAAAAATGCACGTACAAATCATCTAAGGAGATAATTCTACAGAGATATACAAAGCAGGCCCAGGGTCTATAAGGTTGAGTTAGAAAGCTCATACCCTAGGGTCTGCTCGGGTCCCTGTTCCAACAGAGGGAAACAGCCTAGGAATCAGGTACCCAAGGGAGCCACTGTTACTTTAAAATATATATATTTATATACACGTATGTATAGATGTCGTTCTCATCTACAAGAGTGCACGCCTCTGCCAGGATTTCCTAAAGCTACGTGGCTACGTCAAGGCAAGGTTATCCACACAGCATTATAAAAACCAGAGATTACATAATTACATGTTAGATATACAGATATATGCACATCTTTACACAATGATTAAAAGTGTTATTTGCATTGACTCTTGCTTTGGAAGGAAGAACAAAGGAAAAAAGGTAACGTAGCTACTCCTAGAGTAAAAGGCAGCAGTTCAGATTCAGCTCTGAGCAGGTATTAAACCACTCTGTCTGCAAAGAAAAAAAATCTTGGGGAAGGGGGTCAGCTACATGAGCTAATTTTTTAAACATACACGTTCTACGGAGAAACCCACCTCCAGTCATGCCCCTCCCCAGGGAGCATTTGATGAGAGAGACAGAAAACTTCTAGTGTGGGGTGAGTGTTTCATATCATTAGCAATTTGGATGATAGAACCTTTTGCTATCATTTTTCACTGGCCAAGGACTTGGAATGAGATGTTTGTGATGAATCTTGGGCAGCCTGTGTTCCTAAGGTTATGGAAAAGAGTCCCCTAAGGTCCATGATGTCAGAATTGTGGGGGGGAAAAGTAGATGTAAAAACAAAATATCTGCCATAGCCACTGGAGTACTCTCAATGAAACCAACTGTGTGCCTTTCAGACTAGGTTGCACCTGGGATGTCCAGGAATCCATGAATATAGGGCTCTCAACCTTGACCCAGGTGCCCACGACTCTCAGCCTATCCCTTCGAGACCTGATCCATTCCATCCAGCTGGAGAGGGCATGTTCTGGGATCCCCAAGAGGGCAGGTGAGTTTGGTAACTTCTCCCCTTGGAATGAGTGAGCCTGCTGTTTCCTCCGCCCCAGCAGAGACCTGCTTGGCAAACACTGTTTTCTTGGAAGCTCCACAGTGCTGATTCAGGGCTGTGCTGACTGGACCACTGCCTATCACTGCCTCATGGCAGGTGAAATGAAAGCAAGACTTCCTGAACACTCCTTCAAGGAGACACCCTGGGGGGCTTGAGAAGTGGCCCCCAAGCAGGTCAGGGACTGTCACACCTCACCGCCTGGCCATGCCTCAGCATCTCTGCCCCAGCTCACCTTGGCCCTGCTGCAGGTGAGGGATGACCTCCATCTGGCAGAGGTACCAGCAGGTGGCTTCCAAGTTCCCCAGGACCAGATGTCCTAGCATCAGTGAACATAGGAAGTACCATTTAACTGTACGCAGAATCAGGACCACAGTTAAATGCATGCGCCAGGTACACTCCGAAGGCACCCACGGGTGACCAACAGGGTTCTCGCTCACGTTTATCTAGACACCCCAAGCAGAGGGTGTGGGCCGTGGAGAGAGAACTTCGGCTGACCGTTACTGTTTTCTGCTTTGCTCTTTTCCACTTGTGTGGCTTGGGCTCTGGCTGTTTCCAACATTTGGTTAAAACCACGAGCCCCAGGGAGAAATTCACATGTACTTGTGGCCCCATCATCGGTTTGAGGGTGTCTCCCTGGGAACGGGGAGTGGACTGGATGGGTCTGGCCCTCCCACTGTATACTCACAGCCCATCGTCCTTCCCAAAGTGGGGCCCAGACCTGGTTGGCAGGCTCTGTCCGGCCTGTGAGCAGACGAGGACACACTTCTGTGCTTCTGTCCTTTCTCTGCAGCTTTATATCGTGGAAAAGCCCTGAGGCTGGGTCCCTCCCATGATGACCACTAGGCTGGCTGCAAGGTGGTAGCCAGTGTACTTGGGGCACTTTCTCCTCTGATGTTAAGGGACTATTTTAAGAACAGGGAGGTGTCAGGGGCTCTAAGTCTGTCTTGCATTCACCTGAGTCATCTGTAGAAACCTGGCTTCCTTGGCCACTGTTACAGGCCACAGAATGCCTGTTTGAGGACTGACTCCAGCTTGATGCATTCAGAGATAACAAAAACGAAGCTAATGCTAAACCCTCATTTCCTAAAAGAGGGGAAGAAGAAGTGGGGGAGGATATGTAACAGCTGTCAGAAAACCTGGGCTGAGCCTCAGAAGGACATGCCTGAATGCTTCAACTTCATGCCGACTTCCTGCCCAGAAAGCGGGATTTTCAGCCCAGGCTGAATGGAGTCTGGAGGTTAGAAAAGCGGACTCCCCAGGGAGGGTGTGGGGCTCCCCCATTTCTGGTCCTAGAGGGACCCCCAACAGGGACCTTAGAAACACCTGTTTTTGCAGAAGGCGATTGTCTCCGGGGCATTTCCCTGAGGCAGGAGGTCAAGTGCAGGGACTGGAAGGACCAGACCTTAATGGAAGCTGCAAAGAAGGGTGGGATCCTCAGGGCAGCGGGGGTGCAGAGAGGAAGCAGAGGGAGGCTCTCAAGCCTGCCCCACTCTAGGGAGCTCTCCAGTGTCTGCATACAGTCTCCGGTCACTTAGCAGGAATGCAGGGGCCACCCATCCTGGGACTTGCCTGGCTCCATCCTCTGTGACCCCAAGGAGAGAGGCAAGCCCATGATGACAACGAGCCCTAAACATGCTTCCCTGGAAAGTGTGGCTCTGTGTGTATTTACCGACCGAAACCAGGGAGCTGAGCAACAGCCTACACCAGCTCCCGTGGTCCCTGTCCCCTGGGACCATCGCAAGGGAGGCACATGTGGTCCCTGTGAATCTGGGCTGTCGGCACTTTCTAAAGCCCTGGCTCACATTAACAAGGGGGGGAGGGATGGGTGAGGAGGCTGGAACACAGAGGAGAGAAACAGAACTTTAAGACAGTTCAACATGAAACACGAAAGTTACTGAGAGAAAGGAGGCTATTTACAATCAGGCATTAGACCGGAACACTGAGGAATGAACCAGAACCTCTGCTGGACGTCAGCAAGGATAATTCCAAATACAAACAGAGACCCCCCCTCTTTACCGAGTCAGATCCAAGCCCAGTATTTTGAGTCTGAAGCATTTAACACTGAACACAAGTAAAAAGTTATAAAATATTTTATTAGCGGTCTTATTTCTTCAGAGCCTCTAACTTGATAGCCATACACACTGCACCTCCCTCCGCCCAGCTGGGTCGTTTGGGTTTGCTTTCTGTCACACGCTGATCAAGCCGGCATTTGCTGAAAGACCAGGTGGGTTCTGACTACGCTTCACCATCTGCTCGGCAGGCATGAAGTCGGGGAATTTTCTCTTTCCTTCTTGGAGTAAAGGACGACTAAAGATTTACAGAGACACCACAGATAATACTATGAGATACACACCCGGAGCGAGCTGGCGTGTGCCCCTGGGCGTGTGTGTGCACACTCGTAGGCACACACACACACTGGACCCTCTCGCACCCCAGCCAGCCCACAGGCAGGCTGCGGTAGGAAGCTAAGGCCAGGCACGGGCAGAGGAAGGCACCTCTCCGCTGAGACAGGGTGGGTGGGTGGGTGGAGTGGGGGTGAGAAGCTGGGTCCCCAGGCCAGCTCGGGACCCCCCTACAAAAGGCAACTGAGGAGACAGGAGCAGGCTACCCCCATTCCAGTGGTCCACATGGTGACAGCAGCTACAGAGCTATCCTTGTATCTCACTTTACACCTTGAAAAGCACTTTCGAGTACATTCACACACTGCGAACAGGAGGCAAGAAGGCAAAGCAAAAGTTATAGAGCATTTGGGGCCAAACCTGGCTCTCTCCCAGCTCTGGGGCCCGGGGCCTCACTGAGCCTCCCCAGCCTCGGTGCTCCAGCCGCGCCAAGCGTGCGGGGCGGTGGAGGGGAGTCCACATACATCGGCTGACTGAGGACCCGAGCAGAGGAGCTGGTTAGGCACATAGCCGGGCCGCCCAGTGAGGAACAAGGGATGCTAGGCGCACAGGGTGAGGGGTATTCAGCCGTGAACCCACCGGAGGCCTTTCTACCTCACGCACTAGCCTGCCCCTGACCTTTCTCAGGTGGGAAAATGACCTTTCTGTGGGTCTCCAGGATGAGTTTTTACCTAAAAGCTTAAGTCCTGTTTCTTGGTCCTGAAGGGCCCTCTCCCAAGGTGACGTAATCAGATTCCAGCATCTTCTCTGTAAAATGTTTACCTGGTGTCTTTCCTCCCCACGTCACCCATACGAAGCTTTGGAAGCATTTAATTCTCAAGCTGATGCTCAGCAAGAGTAGGTGGAAAGGGAGGTCTGAGGTACTGCAGACAGGTGGAAGGCTCCCAAGATGGGCTGGTCAGCAGAGCCAGGCCCTGACGCTTCTGAGGAGCCACGGGGGTTAGAACACAGTGGAGCCCCTTCCTCTCCTCAACCCCATGGATCAGAGATTCTCTGGACTTACATTCTCACCTAGACTAACAACCAGAAAGGCAGCACATCATTCACCCGGAGCTTCCTCCTTCCTTCTAAATGAAGAAATGAAATCACTGACGAAGGAAGATCCGAGTCATTATATTCAGAAATTACTTAAAAGAATTAGACTTGGCAAGTGGGCCAGGTTTAAATTTCAATGTGTGAAAGATAGCACGTCACCCCTCCCCCCACCTCTTAACTAAACCCATTTAGAAAAATAAAATCAACAAGTTACTTGGATATTATCTTTTGGTGTTGCTTAGTTGCTCAGTCGTGTTGACTCTTTGCGACCTCATGGACTATAGCCTGCCAGGCTCCTATGTCCATGGGATTCTCCATGTAAGAATACTGGAGTGGGTTGCCATTTCCTTCTCCAGGGTATCTTCCCGACCCTGGGATCGAACCTGCATCTCCTGCTCGGCAGATGGATTATTTACTACTGAGCCACTTTGGGAAGCCCGGATGTTATTTCAGGCCATTGCAGTAAGGGGTTTTTATCAAACTTCCCTACAACAAAAAGCAGATTCACTCAGAGACCCTGATTTCAGGTTCACAGCATTCTAGAAGGGGAAAACAGTTCTGTTTCCTTCAGGAAGCTTCTTTGGCCTGAGCTCTCTTCTACCCTGTGGCCACACTGATTCCAACAAGCACCCAAGCTCCTGCCAGGAATTCAAAGGCCATTTACCCTGCAGAAGTGCCCATGACTCTTGCCCTAGAGGGATTTTGCTTCTGTGATTGTGTCATTGGAAAGACGTTTCCAGTCCAGAAAGACTGAGAAGATGATGGCTGAGTTGCCATGGAAACCAGATGTGGGAGACAGCATCTCCCACGGCTCTCAGTGCACGCTTTGATGGAGCTCCAGAGTCTTGGCCACACTAAGCTTTTGCCGGTTTCTTACAAAGGCCTTGGGTCCTCAGGAAATCTCAGCATCTCCCTGCCTGTGAAGTTAGTACATCTTTCATGGGCTACACCTGCAGATCCTGCACATTCACACCTGGGTTTCTCTAAGCCCAGCATCCCCAGGTTCAGTGGAGGTAGTTGATGGGATACGTGAGGGAAGAGAAAATGTTTGTAAAAAATCAGCAGGATTGAGCTCCTAGAATTTGGGGGCAAAATTAAGGTGCTCAGAAAGTTAGGGAAAAAAGAAAACCAATATATTTTGCTTAAGTGAAAATAAGAAGCGTGGGGGAAATAAAAGATTTTGAAAGAGATAGCCAAATTTGCCTTACAACTTTCTATACAACTTTAAAAAGTTCCTGCATGGCTTAGCGCACACGGTTGGTTCCAAGGTTTTCCTCCAACCTGCAACCAGCACCTGTGTCTTTCCCAGGTTCTGTCTGCAAATGAGACCAGCTCAGCGATCAAGCCAAACCCCTCACGTCTCTCCACGAAGTACGTTTACCCTGAATAATTTTCTTCACCAAGTACTGAAAAGGTACAGCTTCTGGAAATGAATGAAATTGATCAACTTTTGACCTGGAAAACGACTTCTCGTTGGAAAAAGAGACAGATTGTAGAAAGATGAAACTACGAAAATATCAGTCACAGGATAGAGTCCCTCTTGGCTTCGCCTTTCCACCCCTGGACATCTGACTGCCCAGGGGCCCCAGGAAACCACCCACATTCCTCGTGCAGAATTAGAGCTCCCCGGTCAGAAGGAAGAATTCTGCCCAGGAAGCCTCTTGTCACCCACTTTGTGGCAGTTTTAAATTCTGCCTCAGGGGTTGTATTTTAAAAATTCCTGCATGTGAAAAAGAAAGACCATTCTACATCTTCTTCCTAGTTACAGCTAGAAAGGGTAATGGAGAGAAGACCCAACTCAGTGGGGCAGCGAAGTCCAGCGCTAGTTGGCTGCCTGACAACCCGGCGTAGTCCCCAGGGTCCACAAGCGGGTATGTGTCCTTGAGCCTGCAAGGGTTCTGGAAGTGGCCCGCGGCCACGGTGTCCAGCGTTCCTCTCTCTGGCTTCCCAGCGCTTTACCTCTCGGCCCGTATTTTGTATCTCAGCACGAGGTAGGCGATGAGACGCAGGGAGATGAAGAAAATCCCCAGGACAATGAAGTCCAAGTAGAGCTTGGCGTTCTCCACATCCAGCTCTCGCAGGATAGCCTCTGACTTCTGGAAGTGGCAAGTCTCGTTGGTGTTACAGTGCAGGTCCTCCCGGTCGAGGCCGTAGATGGAGAGGATGACCCCTTCAAACCCATACCTGATGGGGGAACGCCAGAGTGAGGAGGGTTTGGGATCCCCCCATCCCTACCTCTGTCCATGTCTGTGGAATGTACGCTGATCCCCCCACCGCATCCTCAGCCTGGCTCCCTTCCTCCCTGGAGGTCTTTTCTCCTGGAATACTTCTTAATCGCTCTGCAGCTTCCTAGCATAAATCCACTCAACAGCTTGACCGAGTGTCTTTCAATTTCCTTGCCTCCAAAGTCTCCACACACACACACACACACACAAAAACCCAAATTTAACCAAGCGTGGGTATTGTTCAGAGGTGACACGAATGGAAAAACACATTGATCACTTCTGATATCACACCTTTTTCTTTAACAGTTAAATAGAATAAGGGTCTGAGAGCTTTTCAAGGCCTGCAGAGCATTTGAATAAAACATTTCTGCACCGCCTTTCATTCTGTTCCAGTTCTGCATTATCAGAACAAAAATGCTAATTCTGAGAAGAAAGACATGGGTCTCTGATTTCTCGGTCTTGAAAGGTGCACCATTGCTGAAACTCTGCACAAGGCCTTTGTTTTGATTTTGTTCTCGGGAACAATATACCTGGCACTGAATTGACATTCTAGAAAACACAAGCTTGCTCACAGCTTGGGACTCTGGGTGTCACGTGGAATGGCTGTGGCTGGGGGCACAAGCTCTAATGACCAGCCCTGCCTGCTCAGGGCCAAGGAGCCACAGCGCCGGTGAGCCAAGAGCATGAAATCTGATGCTGAAGCGCTAAGGCACCAGAGCAGTTTTGTTCAAGAATATGAGGACACTTGAGACATGTCTTGTTTTCCACAGGATTTCTTACTCAGAACCTTGTACTGTGGTCCTGGAGAAGACTCCTGAGAGTCCCTTAGACTTCAAGGAGATCAAAACCAGTCAATCCTAAAGGAAATCAGTCCTGAATATTCATTAAGGACTGATGCTAAAGCTGAAGCTTCAATACTTTGGCCACCTGATGTGAAGAGCCAACTGATTAGAAAAGACCCTGATGCTGGGAAAGATTGAAGGCAGGAGGAGAAGGGGGCGGCAGAGGATGAGATGGTTGGATGGCATCACTGACTCAGTGGACATGAGTTTGAGCTACCTCTGGGAGATGGTGAAGGTCAGGGAAGCCTAGTGTGCTGCGGTTCATGGGGTTGCAAAGAGTCAGACATGACTTAGCGACTGAACAACAACAAGAACCTTGTTATAAGCAGTGTTTATTCCAGAGAGGAATGAAGTTCTTCAAGGCAGCTCCCTACAGCACACAGGACATGGGGCTGCCATGGCTTGTCCAGGGCACCACTGCATCCTTGCTTAGTCGCTCAGTCATGTCCAACTCTTTGCGATCCCATGGGCCACAATGTGCCAGACTCATCTGGCCATGGGATTCTCCAGGCAAGAATACTGGAGTGGGTTGCCATTTCCAGGGCACCAGCAGCTAGGGTTTATTTTATCCACTAGTGTGTGTGTGTGTGTGTGTGTGTGTGTGTGTGTGTGTGAGGGTGAAGGTGAGGCACACAAAACTAGGAAGAAAAAGGCACTGGTACTTTCTGGGTTCACGACCTGAGAATCCAGCCGGCATCTAGCTGACAGCCAAGGAGGGGCTCTCGTGAGCCTCTGCCTGTCCCCAGCCCCTTCCCTTTGTCGTCCTAAAGTCCCCGAGTCCTAAGGGGCCCCGCGGCCTACCTGACGTAAGAGACGTAGGACATCCACTGCAAGTAGGTGGGGATCGTGTCAAAGCTGACAAAGAACCCTGAGAAGAGGAGCACGGGGATGGCTGTGACGGGTCCCACGAAGGTCGCCACCTGGGAGGGGACACAGAGGGACCTTACTCCTACCCGCCTCCTCCTCCTCAGGGGGCCCGGAGCCCACAGCCCACGCTTCCAGGAAAGGGCCAGAGATGTCAGGACAGGTCATCCAGGTCATCCAGGGCCAGGATGGCACAGAAGCATCCCTTTGGGGAGGAGTAGGCTGGTCTCCTGCACAAGGAGGGGCCGGGTTGGTGCCCAGAGGCCCAGCTGGACCCAGCAGAGGGGACAGAAGCTAAAAAAGCATGGAGGCCTGAAAAGCAGGAACAGAGACGCTGGTGTGGTCATGAGGGTGCTTGTGGGGCGGGAGGCACATGCCTGAGGAGTTGACATCCTGTGTCCCAGCAAGGAAGGGTCAGGAGTGAGACTCCTTGGGTGCCGACAGCAGCTGGCATGGGCCCAGAACTTTCTACGGCGGTCGGCTGTGAGATGGACACCATTGCCATTCCCGCCCATGGATTAGGGTGCTGCCCAGAGGCTATGAACATGGAACAGGAGGCCATGCAGTAGGAGAGGGGGTGGCAGAAGACCGTGGGGTGCTGACTCCCCTGGGCTCTGGCTTTGTTTTCTAAGGGTCAGACTGGCCTGAGCACGTGAAGCCCTGGAGGTGCAAAAACTGTGCACACAGTGAGTTTGGCAGGCTGGAAGTAGGTGGCACCAGATATCCAGAAGGGGCATGTTGAGGGGCTTGGGCAGATGGGAGTGTGGGGTGTGATGGGGTTGTCTGGGGAACAGCTGCATGGATCCCACAGAGGCAACAAAACATAGGCATTGAGAGCTTGGCCTCAGAGCTGGCTGTGTGACTCTGACAAAATCACTTTGCCTCTCTGGGCCTCAGTCTCCCCATCTGTGAAATGGGAGCATTGTACCTAACTTGTGAGGGTGCTTAGACTCAATGAGCCCATGTCCAACCACAGGTCCAGCTGGGCCTCTGGGCACAAAAATCAGCCCCTCCTTGTGCAAGAGACCAGCTTGCTACTCCCCAAACAGGTGCTTGGCAAGAATAGCACCTTGTGTGCCCCATGACACAAAAGACCACCTGATGCTGTCAATTTGCCAATCCTGAGCAGCCAGGACACCTTGATCCCTTCCCCAAGGACCGACTGACTAACCTGTTGAAGCCAGGCTAGGAAGTAAGGACAGAATCAGGAGGAGGGGGGTTTCAGGGACAGGGTACTGAGCCCACGGGGGCTGCAGCCCTGGCCACACAGGTGGAGGTGGGGAAGCGAGGTCCGCCCCATGGTACATCCTCAGCCGGTACCTGCAGTGACGTGGACGCGGCTCCGATCAGCAGGCCCAGGGACTGCGCCACCAGTGACGTCATGGTGCCCAGAGCCGCGAACAGGACAAAGCGCACAGCGTCAGACGGCTGGGACGTCATCCAGTACACGATGCTGCAGTAGGCCACGGGGAACATGATCTGGAAACACAGGGCCCATCACCCTCACCTGCAAGCCACGCTTCCCGACCCCCAGGAAGGCTAGAGAGCCCCGCCCCATCACAGCATGCCAGGGCGCTCATGTACCTGAAAGGGCACGTCCGCCATGGTCTTGGCCAGGTAGTAGGCCTTCAGGCTGTACCAGTAATTCAGGTGTTCTCGGAGAAACACGCTCATCTCCAGAGGAACTAGGGGGCAGGAGAATGAAAAGGGTCACTAGGACATATAGCACTCCAAGAACTCAGACAAGGGGTCTCCTGCGAAGCCCTTTGCAGCCCCAACTTGGGCTGCCTCCCTGTGAACCTGAAGTGCTTCAAGCATTAATATCTGGAGTTTGAATGGAAAGGTACGAAATGATTCACCTACCTAGACAGACTGCCTGGTACACTGGCATCACTGTAGTGAATGGTCCAAGTATCTCCTGCTGAACCTCTTTTCACTGAGTAACTGACAATGCAATGCCTTCCCTGGGCAAGTCCTCACGAGCTGCTCTTGGAAATTCAGGGCAACTTAAGGAGGAGGTTTCTAGGCTGGGAGACCTGGAGAAGCCACAATTTTCTACACTGTCCCCCTGAAGTGGCCAAGGGAAGCCTGCTCTGCAAGCAGCTTAGAATTGCACAGAAATCCACCTATGAAAGCATTGCTGCATGCTAAGTCACTTTAGTCATGTTCAACTCTTTGCGACCCCATGGACTGTAGCCCGCCCGGCTCTTCTGTCCATGGAATTCTCCAGGCAAGAATACTGAAGTGGGTTGCCATGTCCTATTCCAGGGAATCTTTCCAACCCAGAATAGATTTACCCACTCACAAATTTGGCTGCACCAGGGCTATCTTAACTGAATGAGGTAATGCTCACACAGTAGCATTTGAGGGGTTCCCAATTAGAAAACCTTTTAGAAATCTCTCAGCCTTCCACCAGGCTTACAAATCTTCCATTAGTGATTCACTCCTTTGACTTAAACATGACATGCATTTTCTCATCTAACAGAACATACAATCATACCTACATCTGTCAACAAAGAAAACGGTATTTTAAAAAATAAAATAAGACACTCTATGTTTGTGGCCAAGCAAGCTATGACCTAGGCAGACAAGGAAGGAGGGGTGGGCGCGGGCTGGACCAGGCACTCACATGTGAGGACGGTGGGCATGAGGGCCGCGAACATGAGGAAGAGCATGGAGAAGAAGAGGAAGCCAGAGTTGCTCAGGACCTTCTTGGCTTCGTTCCCAATCCCCAGGTAGAGCAGGCCAATGAGGAGGCCGATGCCGATGTGGGACGTGATCCGCAGGTGCGTGAGGACCTGGGCAGACAAGGTCCACACTCAGGTGTGCACAAGCTTAGAGGTGGGCAGTCAGAGGACAAGGAGACCGGGGCCCCAGAGGTGGCGGTCAAGGTTTCTCCTGCCCCTTCCCTCCAGAGAGGTGGCAGTCAACCCACTTCTTCTGAGGCTTGTGCATTGCAGGTAGATTCTTTATGACTGAGTCACCCAGGAAGCCCATTCATTCACTACTATTAGTTTAAGCTTCCGGCAGCATTTCACTGCTGTTCAAGCAGAAGGAACTGCTATCCTTCATTAAATCCTCTTCAACATAGCAAACCAGGACTGTGTCCCTTCGGAGAAGGGGACAAGGGACAAGAATGGTGGTAAATGGACAAAGAACAGCCACAGGACAGACCCACCCTTGCAGAGCACAGCCTGGATGGCTACCAGCCCCTCTATCTTTCAAACTGGGTTCCGGAGGCTCCTGGGCACTCAGGGACCCCTTACACAGGCTGTCAGATTGCCCACTCGAAAGGGTGGATCTTGTTCTGATTCCCAATCCCTCACCAACTCCTTCCTCTGCTGGGTGGAGCTTCCCGGAGGGAGGAATCCCCTCCCTGATGCCAGCCTTGGCCAATGGAATGTGAACACCAGTGACAGGTTCCCCCACCCACCCACCCACCACCCCACCAGGAGCAGGAAGCTATAAGGGCTGCCATTGGGTTTCTCCCACACTTTCCCCTGCCATGTTCTAGAAAGGAGCCAGTCCTCCATTCTGGGTCCCCAGACGAGAAGACACACGGGGCACACAACCACAACCCACAGCCGCCCACAGGTTACACGAACCAGACACGACTACTGTCATAACCACTAGTAGCCGGGGAGTGTTTGTTACTGCGGCGTCACAGAAAGCCGACTGACGCAGAAAGAGGAAAGCGCAAGCAGATGAACAGACCCAAAGGTGACCCCTCGGCTTCCGTTGCCACGGAGGCCACTGCACACCGCCTTACCGAGTCCCTCATGATGCTGAGGAAAGTCCTTTTGAAGAGGATGCAGAACTGGGTGAGGCAGCTGGCAGAGAAGCTGTGGCAGCCTTCCATGGAAGTGGAGTCCTGGGGACACAGCAAAGGAGGGGAGGAGGGGTGAGCCCCCCGGCCCCCGGACGCCCCCTCCTCTAGCCGAGGAAAGCGCTCGTGCAGCAGGCGTGCGGGGCGGCGTGCAGCGCTCCCGGGGGCTGGGGGTGTGCATTACCTTTCTCCACCCCTTCCATCGTTTTGTCTGCTTTACCTCTTCAGAGGGCCGGTGCCAAATAAAAGGATTCACCTCGGCATCGCCCCCAGGCTCTCTCCTGCAGTCAGAGTCGCACTTGCCCTCCCAGACCGCTCTCACCAGGCGGCCGTTCTGGTCACCGTACTCGCCGGACGCGACTTCCATGACTGCAAAGAGGAGAGAGACAGAGGGCTCAGCCCAGTCATCGCTCATGTGGGCCTCTTTCCTTTGCGACAAAGTCAGTAATCCAGTGGGAATATCTTTTAACTGAATATATAGATGCTGCATGAGGATGCTAATGATGTGATAAAAATCATTTAGCGGCCAATGTTGTTTCCAGTCTCAACGCCCAGCAAGGCCGTTGATCACGTCAGGAGCCTGGAAATGCAAATACAGATTGTGATGTTGGACATCCCGAGAAGTCATGAGCTCATGCATCTATTAACTTATTCATCTGTCTAGTGTTTATTGAGTGATGGTCATAGGCATGCATGCATCAGAGTTGGAGCTGGGAGGAGGGCAGAAGGAAGCAAGATTCCTGTTGGGAAGACAGTTCCCAGGATGAGAGTGAGCTATGAGAACTGAGGCAGCTCTTTGGTACCAAGAAGAAGTGCCAGGGGTCCTGAGATGGGTGCTCTGAGCTCCCTGGGGACACTAGCTTATAGGGGACACTATAAGCTCCACCTCTCAGATCCCCACGGAGCATCACCTCCACTGACCCTCCTTGACCCTGGTGTCACGCCTCCTCTGCACCCCAAACTGTCCAAGGCCCCAGGTTGCTGTTTCTCTCCTGGGTCCACCCTCCCCGGCACCTGCCGCTCCTTCCTCTCCGCCCACCTGCACTCTCCCTCCACCCTCCCCCATTCCTCCTGGTGTGGGACCTGACCCTTCATCTCAGTAAGATTCTTGCTAATGCAATTCCCCCAGGGACCCTCTTTGGCAAAACCAGCTGTTTCCAGAGCCCGAGTCAGGACGGCTAACTCTCTCTCCATCTGATCACAAACTGGGAGAGCCTGGCCCCACCAGAATGTAATGATCAATGACACCAACCCAGCCAGAACTGCCTGCTCTGCTGGTCATTCACACCCACCACCCTCCAAACAGCCCCTCTCTCCCCACCTCTCTCCCTCTGCTCAGGCGTGATATCGAGCAGCCCCTCCCTCGGCTCTCCCCGGAGCCCTGTTCCTTCTCCTCCTATCTGTCCTTTCCTATAGGTCCTCACCTCTCTGCTGGCCATGGCCCTCACCGCCCTTCCCCGTTCAGCAGCACCTGTCCCCCACTGTCCTTGCTCCAGAACGACTCTGAAGCCAACCTGACCATCCCCCCCCCCATCAAAGATGCTTGAGACACCTCCTCCTCCTCTCCCTCGGCCCGCATCTCCTTCCCGCTCACCCCACTCTGGCCTGGCTTCGTCAGAGTGCCCTTCTTGTAAGAGAGAGGCATTTCCCAGCAACAGCGTTTCATGGAACACAATTTGGGAGAGGATGTGTAGGAAAGGTGGGGTCTGGGGGACTGGGGGGACTGGATGCTTGAAAATAAAACAGAGTGAGAAAGGCTGATGACCAGGAGACCAAGAAGGAGGAATAGAGTGGGTTGAAGCATGCCCCCACAAAGACTCATGTCCACCTGGAATCCCAGAATGTGGCCTTCTTTGGAAAAGGTTCTTTGCAGATGTAATTGGTTTTGGATCTTGAGATGAAATTATCTTGGATTTAGAATGAGCCCTGAATCCAACTGAAGGCAAAAGAAGGAGGTGGCAGAGGATGAGACGGTTGGATGGCATCACCAACTCAATAGACATGAATCTGAGCAAAGTGCAGGAGATGGTGAAGGACAGGGAAGCCTGGTGGTGCTGCAGTCCATGAGGTCGCAGAGAGTTGGACATGACTTAGTGACTAAACAATAATTGAATAAAATGACTGGTGCCCTTATTAGAAGAGGAGGTGACATACAGACGCACACAGAGAAACACAGAGAAAAAAGCCATGTGAAGACAGAGGCAGAGACTGGAGGGATGGGTCACAGGCTAAAGACCACTGGAGCCTCCAGAAGCTGGATGAGGCAGGAAGGACCTTCCCCCAGACCCTCAGGAGGGAGCCCGGCCCTGCAGACACCTTGACTTCTGGCCTCCGGAGTTTGAAACAAGACTTCCTCTTGTTTCAGACCACCCAGCTTGTGGGGCCCCAGGGAAGCAGGACACAATGGCCAGCATGGGACCCCACGCACCGTGGCCAAGGGGGAGGATGGGACGGGGTCGGGGTGTACAAACACTTGGTGGTCTAGTGACTACGAAGCTCAAAAGAAAAAGCAGGGAAGCAAGGGGGGTTGCAAGTTCTTGCACTTGGACAGCAGGGAGCAGACGCGGTGGATCTGATTGGAGGACAAGGGAGATGGTTCCAGAGGCGCTGGACACAAAGAGGCCGCCATGTGCAGATAAACGTGCAGGCTGCACAATGGGCCGATCTGGTGGGGAAGTGACTTGGGACATTGGTGTCAGTGCCCTGGAGGGCCCCGGCCAAGAGGAAAGGCCAAAGTGGGAGCCCTAGGGGCACTGAGCATGGAGCTCATAAAGCATGAGCTGCAAAGCTCAGAAGCTGCAGCCTCTGGGTCAGGAGGAGCGACTCCCACCATTAACCTGGGCTCTGGGCTCCCAGGGTGTTAGTCACTAAGTCGTGTCCGACTCTGTGCAATCCCACTGACTGTAGCCCACCAGGCTCCTCTGTCCATGGAATTTTCTAGGCAAGAATACTGGAGTGGGTTGCCATTACCTTCTGCAGGAGATCTTCCAGACCCAGAGATTGAACCTGGGTCTCCTGCATTGCACGTGGATGCTTTACTGTCTGAGCTACTAAGGAAGCCCTGGGTTCCCAGTGAAGTGAAGTGAAAGTTGCTCAGTCACGTCCGATTCTTTGCAACCCCATGGACTATATAGCCCATGGAATTCTCCAGGCCAGAATACTGGAGTGGGCAGCCTTTCCCTTCTCCAGAGGATCTTCCCAACCCAGGGATCGAACCCAGGTCTTCTACATTGCAGGCAGATTCTTTACCAGCTGAAGTATAAGGGAAGCCCTGGGATCCCAGGGTCTTGTTCAAAACTGCTTTGGTCAAAATTTGTTGTGTTTGGTCAAAATTTAAGTTTAATTTTAACATCTGCATTAATCAATGCAAAGGGGATTTTGTTAAAGGTTTTCTCTTTTCAGAAATAACTTCCTTTAGACTGGAAGCATCACACAGTCAAGTATTGGGAAATATTTGGCCTAACAACAGATCCTTTGTTTGTAGTCCCAGGTATTTCCTCTGGAGGAAAGAAAACCTCTTTTGACTTAGTCTTGAAAGTTCTGCCTCAGGACGGCACTTGAGCTATCTGTGAAATAAAGTAACTCTTGATTTGAAGGCTACAGGTAAGAGCGGAAACCCACCAGGAATGAAAAAGACCCCCTTTTGGCTACTCAAGGCTCAACTCACCGAAATCGGCCGGGTTGTGGTAGGTTGGGCAATTCAGACCTAAGTCCCTCAAATACGGTACAAGGTTTGAGACTTTCCCTCGGTACACACACTGTCCTTGACTGAGGACATAGAGCTGAAAGAAGTAAGAAGGAAAGCATCAACTCTGCCGTCCTCTGTAAAGGGAGAGAAACTCTCAGTCCATCCATCCAATGATCCACTCACCCACCCACCCGCCCACCCATCCACCCATCCATCCACTCACCCAGCCATCCACCTATACACCCACTCATCCATCTATCCATCCATCCATCCATCCATTCACCCCATCCATCCACTCACCCAACCACCCATCCATCCACTCACCCACCCACCCACCCAGCCACCCATCCATCCATCCATCCACTCACCCGACCACCCATCCATCCATTCACCCGACCACCCATCCATCCACTCACCCAACCATCCACCTATACACCCACTCATCCATCTATCCATCCATCCATCCATCCATTCACCCCATCCATCCACTCACCCACCCACCCATCCATCCATCCATCCACTCACCCACCCACCCATCCATCCATCCATCCACTCACCCACCCACCCATCCATCCATCCACTCACCCAACCACCCATCCACCCATCCATCCACTCACCCAACCATCCATCTATACACCCACTCATCCATCTATCCATCCATCCATCCATCCATTCACCCCATCCATCCACTCACCCACCCACCCACTCATCCATCCATCCATCCACTCACCCACCCACCCATCCATCCATCCATCCACTCACCCACCCACCCACCCATCCATCCACTCACCCGACCACCCATCCATCCACTCACCCAACCATCCATCTATACACCCACTCATCCATCTATCCATCCATCCATCCATCCATTCACCCCATCCATCCACTCACCCATTCATCCATCTATATACCCACTCATCCATCTAACCACCTACCCATCTATCTATCCATCCATTCATCCATTGATTCATCTATCAGTCCATCAATTCTACCCACTCATCCATCTATCCATCCATCCATCCATCCATTCACCCCATCCATCCACTCACCCAACCATCCATCTATACACCCACTCTTCCATCTAACCACCTACCCATCTATCTATCCATCCATTCATCCATCCATTCATCTATCAGTCCATCAACTCCTCTCTCAGGACAGCTTTATGTTACCTCCCAAGGACTCAAAGTTCAAAGGGAAATCCATGATAAGTCAGGAAAGACAGAAGATATCAAATGTCCAGGAGTTATTTACTCTGTTGCCTTTCTACCTCTCATGCTAACCACTTACTTAGGCCAGATTTTGAAGCTATAAACACTGCATTCCTTGGGACATTTTTTTGCTCAGGATGATCTAAAAGCCTAAAAAAAATTTTTTTAAAGCCTAAGATTTATAAGAGAGATGATACCATACAAATATCACAACCTGCTATCTAATTCTGTATGGCAAGTGTCCCCCTCCTGTCATCGGGGGAGGGGGGGACACTAATGAAGCCTCAGTAATGTCAGTGACTCATCCAAGACCCTGAGGCTGGACATTAACTCTAGAGAGAGGACACTGGCCAGCTCTTCCTATCCCCTCTGGCCCTGCCACCTGAGTTGCTTATGGCACCAAAATCTTAAGAAACATAACACCTAAGGCCACTCAAAAATGAAGACACCCTCATGAACTAAGCTGCAAGTACCCAGATTTGGTTTCACCCGGGCCAATGACAGCGGGCCAACGTACCTGGTCAAACAGCTCGAAGAGCTTGGCACTGGGTTGGTGGATGGTGCAGATGATGGACCGGCCGCCCTGGGCCAACCCCTTCATCAGGGAGACAACCTGGAAGCAGGAGGCACTGTCCAGGCCACTGTAAGTCAAGGGACACCATGAGATGTCTGTGAGCCCCCAACCAGATCCCTCATTCAGAGCGCCCTGGTTGCATCTGTGCAGGCTGGCCTGAGCCCCTCGGCGGGTGGGGAGGTGGCCCCTCATGCCGGCAGGGAGGGCAGGGCCTGATTACCTGGTGGGCTCATCGAAGAACATGACCGGAGGGTTGTTCACCAGCTCCAGCGCGATGGCCAGTCGCTTCCGCTGGCCACCCGAGAGGCTGCCAGTTCGCGTGTTGGCGCAAGACAGCAGGCCCAGGGCTGTCAGGATCTCCTTGACCTGGGGGATAGCAGAAGCAGAGTGACATCAGAGACCACGCACCACTCCTTGTCACCTACAGGGCCCACATGGAACCCTGATCTCCCTCCCCACCCAACTCGCAGACACACCTGGAGAGACTGCAGATCCAGCCCACCCGTGTTGCCAGGCTTGATGTCCTGATTAGGGAGGCTGAGACCCAGGAGACTGAGAGGCAGGGCTGGGACCAGGCCAGCCTGGGCTGGAGTCCTGGTCCTGCCTCTGGTTGGCAACCTAGCAAGTCCCTTCATGTGTGAGCCTCACTTGGGGCTAGGGCCAGGAAGGTGTGGGATAAATACTGCAGAAAGGGTGGATCCACAGACACACAGATGGATGAGTGACTGGGTTTCTGACCAGCACAGAGCAGAGGGCCACCCTGATAGTTTAATGCTTTAACAGATAAAATGCTTGGCACACAGTAAGCATTCACTCGGCGACAGCTGTTAGTGACACACAGCTCCCGTGGACTCAACCACACAGGCCAGGTCTCCCAGAAAGATGGAGCTCCATCCACACTTGTGAATGGGAAAAGAAGGTCTCTAATTCAGCAGCAAAGCAATGACACTGCTCAAAGCTATCACTGCTTCTCTTAGTGACCCTGCCAACACTGCCCCTGCGAGCTGCCTGGGAACCAAGGTATAAACAGCCCACTGTGTGCTCAGCCCTCCCTGGCTGCCCCCATCACTGAGCCGGGATGGACTCGGGGAGCAGGAAGGTCAGCAGAGTTTGGTGTAAACTGTTCACCGGTTTCATCCACAGCAGTCAGTGTTTGGGGTCCATCCTGGTGTCTTCTAGAGGTGGCCACAAGAAGGCAGAGGTCAGTTGCTGCCCTTCTGGCCTCCTCGTCAGGTTCACCTCCCAGTGGGGTACGAGGCAACCTGCCACAGAGGTCCTGCCAGAATTCACTGGGCCATTGTCCTAGCCCATGGTGGCACCAGGTGGACCCTAGTCCAGCAACTTCTCTAGGGAGATGAGGTCATCCTCAAGGAGAAGGAACTCAAGGAGGAAAATTTCCACTCTGGCTCTTGAATTACTTCTGCACGGTCAGGACACAATGTGGCCTTGGTGATGGGAAGGACCAGGGCACTGCTGCTCCACGGGCCAGAAGCAGGCAGGTCAGATAGATCTGCATTTGAATCCTGCTCAGCCTTTTCCCTGCTGAGCCCTAAACCCAGCTCCAGAACATACAGTCATTGAGGCATGCCATCCCCGAACCTCACAGTGAAGTTGCCCAGAAAAGGCCATCTTTCAGGAACGCTTTCCCTCATGTGGATAGTCCAATGGCCTTCCCAGGATGACATGGCTCCAGCAGTCTCCAGGAATCCAGGCCAAAGGTTCAGGAGGAAGATCACCCACTCCCTACTTTCTCTTAGCCCCACTGGAAGGATGCTGGAGGCGGAGGCCAAGGTCAGCACCTCCTGTTTCCCTTGCATGCAGGCATCTTGTCTAGGATTCTCTCAGGAGTGACGCCCTGCAGGCTGGTTTTGTTTTAAAGTGAATCAGAAAGAACAATGCCCCCTCCTGGGAGACCTCACTCCTGAGGAAGGCCCCTCACTGGGGGGTTCTCGAGGCTGGGGCCACTTTTCTGGGAAATGAGGTGGAGTGGGCAACATTCCACTACCTGCTGGAACATTCCAGTCTATTATGTTTCCTCAAGAAGTAAACAACCAGGACCCAGGGACACAACAGGGTGGGAGGGAAATGAGTCAGGGCCTGTCCTCTCCTTGGACAATCACGCAGCCCTGCTGATGGTTGGGGGTGGGGGGGGCTGGACCCTGCTGAGGATGAGGAAGGCTGGTCGGGACTTGACAGACAGAGGGGTGCAGGGCTGAAGGACTGGCTGTGGGTGCTCCTCTGTGGAGTCAGCTGAGAGGCACACACGTGTTCCTCGCCCCCGCCCTTCAGCAAATGCTCCCTCCCAGCTCCCTCTCCCACCTGGAAAGGCTGGTCCCCTGGGCCACGCTGCAGGCAAACCATCCCACACCCACTTACTCATGGATCGCATCTGTTCTGGGAGCTCAGACTTTAATGAGCGCACCGAACTCAGCTTCCCACCTCCAGTAGGCAGCTACGGACAAAACCCCCAGGCGCTGGAGGCCCTGGCCTCAGTTGTCCAGTGGGTTCCAGGAGGCCAGGCCTGAAGGGTCCCCTCATGGGCTTAGTTCTAAGCCAGAAAGGCCCTCTGAAGCCCCGCACCAGCTCACCCATCTTCCCAGGGGGCCGACCTGTGTCTGAGGCTCGCCCTTCAGAACAGAGTGGTGGTCCTGGGTCCCCCTTGCCTTCAACCCACACAACCGAACCCATCCGGCCCCTCCACCCTCTTGGAGGGTGGAAACACCCATGCCTCCCATGCTTCTTCCCCACATCTGTGTTTTGGGATCTGTTCATCCATTTTATTCCTTTCAGCTACAGAACCAGAGTCCACGTGAAGCATCTATCTGCGAGGAGGGGTTTTCACTCCTCACAGAAATCGGGCTCCCCTACCCTGAATGTGCCATTTCCTCATCCCCCCAAATTCTTACCCAAATCCTCAGCTTTCTGAAGGGTGGGGTGGGGGAGGGCACAGGGAGGGACAGAAGGGGCCCTAAAGACCCCTCGCTCCAAGGTCTCTTGTACTGCATGCATGTTCAGTCATTCAGTTGTGTCCAACTCTCTGTGACCCCATGGACTGTGGGCCGCCAGGTTCCTCTGTTCATGGGGTTCTCCAGGCAAGAATAGTGGAGAAGTTTGCCATGCCCTCCTCCAGGGGATCTTACCAACCCGGGGATTGAACCCGCGTTTCTTATGCTTCCTCCATTGGCAGGTGGGTTCTTTACCACCAGCGCCATCTGGGAAACCCAAGGCGGTTTACATCACATCCTATCAACTGTCAAGCTGCTGCTGACATTGTGACTGTTTTCTACGACAGAGGATGAGATGGTTGGATGGCATCACTGACTCGATGGACATGAGTTTGAGCAAGCTCTGGGAGTTGGTGATGGACAGGGAAGCCTGGTGTGCTGCAGTCCATGGGGTTGCAAAGAGTTGGACATGACTGAGCAACCGAACTGAACTGATTCCATTTTGCATGGGCACATAAAGAGACAAGTCGCATTGTTGGCACCAACCCCACAGATCGTACTCTCTCTGCTGCTGGCCTGTGGTCCTACAGGCACGGGAAGACAGGATAACATTATAAAAGTAGAATTTCACCAAATCACATCTTACACTGGAACTCCCACCAGTGCCAGCCGTGGGGTGGAGACAAGGGGAGTTGGGTTTGTCTTAGGCAGTGTGTAAATATAAACCAGGCCTCCCCACTAAGTGGGGGTTTCTGGTGCTCCCCGCTGGGTCTGCTTACCCAGCACCCTTTGGCTCCCTGGGGTTTCAGGGAGGCAAAAGAGCAATGAAAAGGATCACAAGATCTCCGTCATCTTAGAAACGTGTTTGTGTTATTTTTAAAAGGCTGGTTAATAACAGGTAAGAACCAAATTTCTTCTTACAAGTGTGTAGGGGTGGAGGCTGGTTATTTTTAAATGGATGACTAACCATCTTCACTGTTAGTGTTTTATCAAAAACAATGGAGTGTAAAGTGTATCAGAAACTAAAAGGGGAAGAGTGCTGGGTCTAAGCCTGAGGTTGGTTCCTCAAACCCATGTCCTTGCTACATCTGTGCGCTGCATCTGTCTTGTGGCAGCATGGTCACTCCAGGCGTGTGCCAGTCCAAGGGCACACTGCTATGCCACTGACCCCCCAACGAAAACAGCCAGGCGCCAAGCCACAAGCCAAGTCACTCCCCAGAGGCCCCTCCACATGTGACTGCCAACTGGATTTCATGTGACCCAAGCATACACTTACCATCTCCCTTCTTCCTTCATCCTTCTCCTGGAGTTTGAGGTGTGCGGATACCTGTAGGGGATAACAGCAGCGGTATGGATCAGAACAGATGGCCAGCAGCAAGACAATCTAACTCAGCGACGGCGGCATGACAGAGGAAACCCGCAGAGGTCCCGGCTCCCCACCTCCCTCAGCTTCACTAAGGAAGGTCCCAGAGAGCAGTGAGGCCCGGGCCGCTTCCAGTCACTTTGGTGGATTCTCCGCTGGTCCCTGAGAGAAGTTGGATGTGGGCAACTGAGCGACGAGGACTCCCCAGGCTTTGGAGGCTTCAAGATCACTGTTAGGAATTTCACAAAGCCACCTGTGAAACCACTGACAGCTTACCATTCTCCACAGTGGGAGTATTTACACCACAGAAATTGGCAAGTGGTAAGTAAAAGGAGTTAATTGGGAAAGATCCTGATGCTGGGAAAGACTGAAGACAAAAGGAGAAGGGGGCGGCAGAGGATGAGATGGTTGGACGGAATCACCGACTCGATGGACATGAGTTTGAGCAAGCTCCAGGAGATGGTGGAGGACAAGTAAGCCTGGTGTGCTGCAGTCCACGGGGTCGCAAAGAGTCGGATGCAACTTAGTGACTGAACAACATCAACATATAAAGAGCCTAGTTTTGTTATTTCTGTTGTTTGGTTTGATATCCTGCCTGCTAGCACACACGGGGCCCTTGACCCTGTCTGGCGAAGGCCTGAGTAGCCATCACCACGGCCGGCATCAGCCTCGACTCTTCTGCCGAATCCTGGGACCTTGGGAAGAAAGGACTTTGGTCTCCTCCTCAGCATAGCACTGAGGTCAGAACATGCCCACCTGGTGAGCTACTGAGGCTGCACAGTGGCCCCTCAAGAGACTGTGATGCAGGGGTGAGGGGTCGAGAGGCTGAGCTCCCAGAATCAGGCTGGAGCAGCCGCCAGCCATGTGACTCCGGGTGTCATGTCTTAGGCTGCCTGGGGGTGGAGGGTCAGAAGCAGCACACGGAAAGGCACCACCAAGGGCTCGTGGCCAGCATCATCCCCACGCGTGGGGCAGGACCCTGCAGAGTACAAGGTATCCTTTCTCATCGTGTACCAGCGTGCTAAGTTGCCTCAGCTGTGTCTGACTCTTTGTGACCCTATGGACTATAGCCCTCCAGGCTCCTCTGTCCATGGGATTCTCCAGGCAAGAATAGTGGAGTGGGTTGCCATTTCCTCCTTCAGGGGATCTTCCTGACCCAGGGATTGAACCCAAGTGTCTTACGTCTCCTTCACTGGCAGGCAGGTTCTTAGTGCCACCTGGGAAGCCCATCCTTTCTCATTAACTGAGAATAACTCAATTTATTCAGTTAACCATTTCTCATTAACTTCACAGTATTTGTCAAAGGGATTGTGAAGTTCTCAAAATCAAAATGTAATTGATTTTAATTCTGAAAAATAAATGGATTTCCCAGCAGAGCCTGGAGACAGGTTAGGGGGAGGACAAACGTGACAACAGGAGTTGAAGATCTTGTTTTCAAAAGAAAGTGGTGACAGAGCTAGAAATCGAAGTGAAGTTTCTCAAACAAGTAACCAGGGAATGAAGCTCTGGTCACTCCAGATGAAGGTGAAGTGACGATGTGGGAATCCACAGGGTAAGTAGAGATCATGTATTTCCCAACCTCACCATCCTATTTGCAAACTCCTCTTGAGCAGCCCATGAGAATGCCCATTTGGAGACCAGAGGAGCTACATGGTCAGGCTGCTGGGTGCTCAGGGCTGCTGGGGCAGCAGGTTAGGAGGCAGACCACATACCCAACGCCTTCTCTGCTTCTCTCTGCTGAGCTAAGGATCCCCTGGAATTGCCCTTCGGCCAAAATGCTGGGCATCCACCCGTTTGTGACCCCCCAGAGGGGAAGCCTGACTCCGTATGTGTCAGGAGTGCAAGGCAAGACCTCTCTTGTGGAAATCCATGGTGAATGCTTGTCTACTGCCTGGGCATGAGGTAGACTAGCTGGGAAGGTCCCCAGTGTGCTAGGAGAGGCCTGGAGACCAGGCACTGCCTTGCACCGCAGACGAGGAGATGGCAGAGAAGCAGGCAGCCCCACGGACCCATGCTCCATCACGGACAAGGGCTGCCCACTGACTTCCTGGCTGGGAGGCTCCCGAGCAGCTCCCGCAGCCCACAGCTGTGGGTCAGTGTGGGCCCTGTCCACTTGGCACAGGGCTAGGTCGTGGTCTGCCCGAAGAGTACAGACCACGCCAGGCCATCCTAGACCCCACTGTACAAGATGTCCAGCTAACCGCTAAACTCTCCAAGGCACCCTTTCTTATGTGGTTGTGTAGGATTACATGTCTGATGACCTTGCTGGGCTACGTGTGTGCAGGCCAGAGACCCAGCGGGTGAGCAGCAAACACGTGTTTTATATCCACCTGGCAGGCAGGTGAGTCAGAGGACGAGACCCTCAGGGCCCTAATCCAGGCACCAGACTGCCTGGAACTTTGGCCAAAGCCATAGAACACCAATGGGAAGAAAAGATCTTGACCCGTGGGCCTAGGAGTGTGGTCACTCTGGCAGTGGTCTCCCACATCAGCCAGGTTAATCACCTTCTCAGAGACCTGGCCTCGATTTTGCCATCTGGGGTCTACAGGGCCTTGGGGGGCTGCCTTGGGCGACACTGTCCACACAGCACATGGGGTCTGAACTCTATGTGAAAGTGGGGTGCCAGTGCCACTCTGATTCATGTGGAGGGTGGGGGGTAGATGCAGGTGAGGGCGGGGTACATGTAGGGGATGGGGGGTGGCCAGGTGTGAGGCTGCAGGCCCCAGGACGCTCACCATCATGGCCTCTTGCACGGTCAGGTGTGGCAGCAGCAGGTCATCCTGCATGATGTAACAGGACACCTTCCGGAAGCAGCGCAGGTCCCGGGGAAGCCCATTGATGAGGACCTCACCCTTCATGCCGGTCTCCCTGCAGGGTCAGCCAGAGGATGTGTCAGCCTGGCCCCTCCTGCACCGCCTCCCCCTCCTCCAAAGCTGAGGGAAGGGGGAGACCTTAGCCCTCCCAGTATCATCCAACTGGACCAGTAGGGACACCAACCTGGGCATGGCCGGGAAGCCCAGATCAACGCTCAGAGGAGGGAACCCCAAGAAGAAAAGGCCCAGTGTGGAAGGGGAGGGGAGAACAAGCATGAGCCTCCCTGGGATCTCACATTCGTCACAGGTGCCTACGGACCAAACCAATACATGGATGCTCCTACCTGTGGACATGAGGCCCCGTGCACACCCCCGGCTTTGCAGGGTTTATAAGATGAGGGTATGAACAATTTTGTGTGTAGCCTCGGTTAGATCAACCCCAAAGGCCAAGACTCTGCAGCCCAGGGTGGGACCACTAGGTCAGAACCAGTTCCTGAGGGCAGCATGAACCTGATGCTGACTGGGAGGGACCAGTACAGGCTTGCTGGGCCCAGGTGGCTCAGAGACGAGGAGGGGGTCTGGGCCCTGGACCCACTAGACCAGGCAGACGGGAAGTTGTTCTCTCAGACCACAGTGGAGGTGAGGCATCCCGGGTGTACTGTGGAGACGGAGGGGCATGGCCCCACCAGCCACACTCCCTCCCACTCAGATGCACTGGGAATCTCTACTGTCCAGTACGACTTTGGTGCATCATCGCAGCCCAGGGAGGTAGAGGGAGCCACAGGCATCCTACTAAGATCCACCTTATCCAGTGCTGCCTCATCGATGCCACAAAGAACAGAAACACAGAGAGTCTATGGAGACCAGTGAGGCTACACCTGCTCTCCAACTTCATCCAGCCCACTACTATGACCATGAGCCCTGGGGCGGGATCCTTCTTTCCTCCAAGGAATGGGTTGGATCAACTGACTTCCCAGGGAGCCAGGCTGGAAGACCTGTCTCCAGGTTGCCACATGTGGCTCCAGGATGGTGCTGGGCAGTCTGGGCAGGAGTGCGGGTGTGGGGTGAGCTGAAAAATGACTGAATTCACCAAACAGAAGCTACTCCCCTGAGGCTTCCCAGAGCCTTAAAAAGTGATGGGATGGACCATCCATGGTGCTGGTCCCTGGTGAACCACTGGCCGAGGGTTTGCTCACCTGTATCCAGCCAGGATGTTCATGAGTGTGGACTTCCCAGCCCCAGAAGGACCCATGATGGCCACCAGCTCTCCACTGTTGAACTTTCCAGAAATGCCTTTCAAAAGTGTCTTGTATCCTGTGAAAAAAAGATCATGTTCATTTTCAGCCACCCCAGGACACAGTGGTTCTGCCCCCAGTGCTATAGAGGCCAACACACAGAGCATGTAATTTCAGAACCAAGGCCAAAGGCAAGGTTTTTCACTCCACAGTGTTTATAAAGATGCTGAGTTCTGGGCAAGAAAATGGACCTCCTGTCTTTTAGATGCCTCTGCCTACTGCCTCAGTTGCATTTCATGGGTTATATTAGTGATAAGCACCTGTAGGTATATAATGCTGTAGCATTTACAAAGCCCTTTCCTGGACATCACCTACGGCAGCCGTCCCTAGCCTTTTTGGAACCAGGGACCAGTTTGGTGGAGGACAATTTTTTCCACAAACCAGGGGGTAGGGGATGGTTTGGGGATGATTCGAGCATGTTACATTTATTGTGCACTTCATTGCTATGGATATTATTGTTACATCAGCTCCACCTCAGATCATCAGGGGAGATCCCAGAGGTTGGGGACCCCTGATTTAGGGCTACGAGGAATCCACCATTCTCATTTCAGATCCAGGAAGCACGTGTCCAGAGGGCCTCGGAGACTTGTCTAGGCACCCACTGCTGGAGCAGACAGATCCTAACCCAGGGCTGCACCACCTACCACTATGGTAAACTGGCACCTTTATCAATCAAGTGATTAATTTATTATTTCATATATGACTTATCTATTTAAAATCCATATTGGTATAAATTATTTATATAGAATTTATCCACATTTGTAATTAAATGTTTCATATGCTAATAATTCATTACTAATTGAAAGTTTATCATTTTGCAGTTATACCACATTGCTTTGGACTTTCTGCCAAATCTCCATCAGAGAGCCTTGTGAAAGGACAAAAAAAGAACTATACATGCCAGACAGAGTCACATTATTTCTTTTCAAGCAGATGGTTGAGATGTGCTACAAGACTTAAAAGATCCCACATGCTGCAGCTAAAACCTGACACAATCAAATAAATAAATTTTGTTTTTTAAAAAGGAATCAAATAGAGACAACTGGATTCATCTGAAGATTCCTAATTCAGAGACACCTCTCAGTCCCTGAAAACACTCCCAGGACATGCCCTTAAATGACCAGAATCGGGCAAATGCAGCATTTTGGTTCCCCACGCAGAGCTGAAAGGGGCTTGGTGAGGACAGGGCCTTTGGGGCACCTGATGAGCCCCTAGTCACTCCCCGGACCCCAGACCCATGTTTACTGAAACCCCAGCCTGGGTCGAGGTCTCGGCGTGTTCTCCCAGTGGCCTCTCTTCTTTCACAGATGGGAACCCCGAACCCCCACCTGTCACCAGGTGCCTGCCTGATTTGAACAGGGAGTCAGTCCCTGAGGACTTTTTAATCAGGCCGAGAGAAGCGAAGGGCAGGAAGCTTGCAGCCTTGCAACTTGACTCATTATGGGGAGTGGCAGTCACCAGGGAGCCCTGAGACAGTCATCCTCGGGGGAAGGGACCGAGTGGCAGATGGACAGGTTGGGGGGCATCTGGGAGACCACTCAGGTCTGCAGGTGAATCAGATTCTTGCCACTGGGATGTCAGTGATGGCAGGTGGACAGACACACAGCAGGGAAGCCGAAGAAGACAAGGGTGGGGTCAGGGACCCTGATAGGTGACACCTGCCCAGTGGGGGACACAGGTGGACGAGCCAGGGGACAGCAGGGACCCCCTCTGGTGGGTAGAGCCCCAGAATGGGCTCCGTCCACATGGGAGGGAGCTCTGTGGAGGGGGACCCCAGGGGACAGGTGTGACATCACTGAAGGAGCGCTAATGCCAGGCATCTGCTCATTATCGGTCTCCTGGGGGTGCAGGTGGCTTCGGGGTTACTCCAGAGCAAACCTTCCTTCAGCTCTGTGCTTCCCCGAGTTCAGAACCAGCCAGCCCCGAGCTGGTCCCCTGGAAACCGGGGCTTCCCGAGGAGGTATGGGGTGGCTGACTTGACCACCAGCCACGTGGAGGTCATGTACATTCTGGATCATGACACCTGAGTGCAGCCTCGGTATGGGGATCTGTGAGGCCCCTTGCCTCAGGCAGGGGCCATGGGAGCTGCTCTCTTTGGGACCCTTGATGATGGGGTTCACACGAGGGCACTGGATAATAGTAACACTTCCAGGGAGCTCACACAGGCTGTGATGCCCATGGCCAGGATGCCAGGAACAGACCCAAGTCTGGGAGCTGGGGAAGCATCAGCCTTTCAGGGGAAAAGGCAGAGAGATGGGGGTATAGACTGTGGTCTTGTCATTTACAGCCACCAGCTTGGAACTGGGGGTCTGACTGTGGACCCCGGGCTAAACCAACACACCTGGAGCCGAAGGAGTTATCTGCCTCCCAGCTCATTCATAGGAGGGGGCGTGGGCTCCCAGGGGGATGGGGAGGGACAGCGAGTGTGTGTGACATGACGCAGAGCTGGCTGGCCAAGAAGTGTCCTTGTGTGTGGCCTACCCTCTCGGGCACAACGTTTATATCAGTAGCCTGCTTTTCTTTTAAAACGACAGACCTGTATTTGGGATTGAAGACTTTGGAAGGTGACACTGGACTCAGAAGTCTAGGAGGCGTCCACCTGCACCCACCCTGGACCCGTAGAGGCCAAGATGGGAGGACAGGGCATGCTCTGCACTGGCTGAGGCCTGGGGAGCCAAGGGGGGCACTCATGTTAGAGCTGAGCATGTGAGCGAGTTGGTGAGCACAAATGCATCCCTCTGCTTAGTCACTGAGTTGTGCCCAACTCTTTGCGACCCAATGGACTGTAGCCTGCCAGGCTCCTCTGTCCATGGGATTCTTCAGGCAAGAATATGGGAGTGGGTTGCCATTTCCTTCTCCAGGTGCATCCCTGTATTTATGTAATGAGCTCGTCCTTCACTGCAGAGTCTGGTGTCTGGTCCCCACATAGAAACATGAAATTGAGATGCTCCACCCCGCCCCACCCCACCCCCCTGCCCTACTTCCCAGAGGAAGCTCTGCTCGGCGCAGCTCTTGGTATAATGGATAAGCCGCCTTCTCCGTGTCTAGAGGTCACTTATTTACACAGGTGCTGATCCTGGGCCGCTCCTCGGATCGAGCCGGTGAGCACTCAGGGGATTGTAAGCATATAAACCTCCCAAGAGGAAGGGCCACTGAGTGCCCCCCAGCCCCAACCAGGGCATGAGTGCTCTGTCCTTAAAAGGTCCAGCCCCGAAGGCAGGTCAAAACCCAGACCCGGGATGACAGGAGAGATGGAGAGACAGAAACAGAGAAAAACAGACAAGACAGAGAGATGATAGTGCCTTGAGCCCACCCATCACAGGGAAGGAAATCCTGCCTAGACCCTGGGTTCAGTGGGGGAGCTTCCCAACCTCTCAAATGGGAAGGACACGGCCTGAAGCGAGAAGATAGGGACCAACAGTGGGAGCTGGTCCCTTGACTTTCAACTGCAGGAGCACTGGAGCAAATGTGCTGATGAGTGGGGTTGGAGGGGATGGCACTGTGGGGGCAGCAGATGGAAACCCATAGTTTCCAGCCAGCCTGGGCCAGTCTGTCTCACAGCCCTGGATGCTTTATATCGAGGGGATGTTGAGGGGGTCTTCATGGGGGAAAGGATAAAACTACAATGTGATGTCTGGTTCTGGCTGAAAGCCTAGTCATGCCCCGGCAGTTAGAGGAAATACTATTGTTGGAAGGGTAGCTAGGGCAGGTGCCCAGGGCACGGGAGGATGGAGCATCTGCGGGAGAAGAGAAGCCCAATGCCGAGGAGGAGCAGACCTGATTGAGAATCCCCACAGCCCCACAGGCCAAGGGTACCCAAGGATCATCTTGCCTGGCTTGTCTTTGGTGTTCAAGAGCAGTCTGTGAGAAGCAAGATTCATTTTCCAGAGTTTCGCTTTACAAATGCCCTTGCTAAGCATGCTGTGTTTTGTAAGGAGAGCTAAAGACATACCATAGCATTTTAAATGGTCTCGTGGCTCCACTAAACTCAGAACTGGTCGACAGACCCTGTGCCCTGCCCAGCGGGTACTAGGAAGGAAAATCATGAGAGTAAACCCGTAAAGGCTTTCTTCATAAATCCCACTGAGGTCATGAAAATGAAGCCAACTGGAGGTGACTTTTCCACGATCTAATCCTTTCTCCAAAATCACTGTGGATGGTGACTGCAGCCATGAAACTAAAAGACACTTGCTCCTTGGAAGAAAAGCTATGACAAACCTAGACAGTGTATTCAAAAGCAGAGGCATCACTTTGCTGACAAAGGTCTGTGTAGCCAAAGCTATGGTTTTTTCATTCATGTACAGATGTGAAATTTGGACCATAAAGAAGGCTGGGCACTGAAGAATTGATACTTTCAAATTGTGGTGATGGAGAAGACTCTTGAGAGACCCTAGAACTGCAAGGAGATCAAACCAGTTAATCCTAAAGGAAATCAACCCTGAATATTCATTGAAAGGACTAATGCTAAAGCTGAAGCTCCAACACTTTGGCCACTTGATGCAAAGAGTCAAGTGATTGGAAAAGACTCTGATGCTAGGAAAGATTGAAGGCAAAAGGGGAAGGGGACAGAAAATGAGATGGTTGGATAGCATCTCCCACTCAGTGGACATGAATCTGAGCAAACTCCAGGAGACAGTGAAGGGCTGGGAATCCTGGCATGTATAAAGTCACAAAGAGTAGGAGCAACTGAACAACAAAAACAAATCCTTTCCGAGGGGAACTGAGATATGTTCGGAACATCCGCAGTCCATTCAGCACTCACCTGGTGGGGCTGCATTTATCTATAAAGAATGGAGATAAAGATGCTTGTTAATAGTTTGCATGAAGCGAAAACTGAAGGCTCTCGGTTATACCTGCAGTGAGTTACTCTTACAACGTTAGCAATTTGGAAAGAGCCTGTCCAGACCATTCTGTGTTTGGGGAATGAAGGATACTCTGAGCAGGCTACTTCTTCTAAAGACAATACCCACCCGCCAGCCACAAACCAAGTGCCCAAGGGGAGCCTGACATCTGATACCT